AGAGGGGAGGGTATGTGCTATGGTGAGCACTGTGAATTGTGTAAGACTGATGAATCACAGACCTGTACCCCTGAAACAAATTATACATTATGTTAATTTAAAAAATAACTTAATTAAAAAATTAATTTAAAAAAATTTTTTTAATTAAAAAAACAAAAAAAAGAAATGGGCAGAAGACATGAATAGACATTTTTCCAAAGAAGACCTACAAATGACTGACACATGAAAGGATGCTCAATATCATTCATTATCAGGGAAATACAAATCAAACCTACAATGACATATTACCTCATACCCGTCAGAATGGCTAAAATTAACAACACAGGAAACAACACATGTTGGCAAGGAGGCAGAGAAAGGGGAACTCTCTTACACTGTTAGTGGGAATGCAAATTGGTGCAGCCACACTGGAAAACAGTTTGGAGGTTCCTCAAAAAGTTAAAAATAGAACCACCCTACAACCCAGCAATTGCACTACTAGGTATTTACCCAAAGGATACAAAAATACTGATTCAAGGGACACATGCACCCCAATATTAACAGCAGTGTTATCAACAATAGCCAAATTATGGAAAGAGCCCAAATGTCCATTGACTGATGAATGGATATAGATGTGGTGTGGAGTATTACTCAGCCATCAAAAAGAATGAAATCCTGCCTTTTGCAATGGTGTGGATGGAGCTAGAGTATATTATGCTAACTGAAACAAGTCAGAGAAAGACAAATACCGTATGGTTTCACTCATGTGTAATTTAAGAAACAAAACAGATGAACATAGGGGAAGGGAGGCGAAGAGAGGGAGGCAAACCCTAAGAGACTCTTTTAACTACAGAGAATAGGGGCGCCTGGGTGGCTCAGTCATTAAGCATCTGCCTTTGGCTCAGGTCATGATCCCAGGGTCCTGGGATCAGGTCCCGCATCGGGTTCCTTGCTCGGCGGGAAGCCTGCTTCTCCCTCTCCCACTCCCCCTGCTTGTGTTCCCTCTCTCGCTGTCTCTCTGTCAAAATAAATAAATAAAATCTTAAAAACACAACAAAACTATAGAGAACAAACTGAGGGTTGATGGAGGGGGGGTGAGTGGGGGATGGGCTCAATGAATGACTGGTATTAAGGAGGGCACCTGTGATTAGCACTAGATGTTAATATATAAGTGATGAATCACTAAATTCTACTCCTGAAACCAATATTACACTATATGTTAACTAACCAGAATTTAAATAAAAACTTGAAACAAAAAAATAAATAAGTAAATAAAATGATGATAAAAGGTGAAAATGACTTAAAAAAATGTGAAATACTTATGGAAAAAGATTACCCAAAATTTAAAACACCTTTTGAAAACTGTGTCACAGAAATTTTTTAAGACTTAAATAAACGGAAAGATACACTTTGTCCAGTCAGAAAATGGACCATTTTTTGAAATGAACCAAACAGACCATTCTCCAGAATTGTTCTAGTCACAAATCTCAATCATAATTCCAGGAGGCTTTTCTGTATAAACTGACAACCTGATTCTTAAATTCACACAGAAATGCAAAAGGTCTAGAAAAGTTAAAACAACTGTAAAAAAGAACAAGGTTGGGGGCGACTGGGTGGCTCAGTTGGTTAAGCAACTGCCTTCAGCTCAGGTCATGATCCTGGAGTCCCGGGATCGAGTCCCGCATCGGGCTCCCCGCTTGGCGAGGGGCCTGCTTCTCCCTCTAACCCTCCCCACTCTCATGTACTCTCTCTCTCTCTCTCATTCTCACTCTCTCAAAATAAATAAATAAATCTTTAAAAAAAAAAAAAAGAACAAGGTTGGGGTGCATGGGTGGCTCAGTTGGTTGATCATCCAACTCTTGGGTTTCGGCTCAGGTCGTGAACTCGGGGTCCACGGGGATTGAGCCCGGTGTCTCATTCCACACTCAGCTTGGAGTCAGCTTGAGATATTCTCTCTTCCTCTCCTTTTGCCCCTTCCCTTGCTCTCTAAAATAAATAAATAAAATCTTAAGAGAAAAAAAAAGAACAGGGTTGGTGAGTTTGCACTAACTGATTACAAGAATTTTTATCAAAACCGAGTAATCAAGACAGGGTAGTATTCGTGTCAGAACAGACAAATGAATGAACAGAACAGAGCTCAGAATAAGACCCACACATACATAGTCAACTGACATTTTATAAAGGTGCAAAGGCAACACAGTGGAGAGATATGCATATACAAAAAAAAAAAAAGAACTTAAATCCATATATTGTACCATATATATTACTCAAAATAAATAATAAACCTAAGTGAAAAACCTAAAAAAAAAAAACAAAAACCCCAAAACCCTAAACCTTCGAGAAGAAAAAATTGGAGAAAATCCTCTGCTCTTGTAATAAAGCAAAGATTTCTTAGGTACAACACCAAAAGAATAATTCAAGAAAAGTTCATGTCCTGGACTTCATAAAAACTAAATCCTTCTGCTCCTCAAAACACATCGTTAAGAGAATGTTGAAAGGCAAGCCGAAGACTGGGAGAAAATCTTTGCAAAGCATATAACTGGTAAAGGAAAGTCTTGTATCCAGAATATATAATGAATTCCCAAAAATTAACAAGACAACAGAAAAGCATAAAAGACTTGAACAATTACTTCACCAAGGAAGATATATGGATGGCAAATAAGCACACGAAAAGATATTTAACATCATTAGCCATTATTAGGTAAATAGAAATTAAAACCACAAGGTACTGCTCCACACCCATTAGAATACCTAAAATCAAAAAGAATGACAATACAAAGTGTTGGCAAAAACATGGAGACACAGAACAATTATCCGCTTCTCTTGGGAATACAAAGTGCAGCCACCTGAGGAAACAGTTTAGCAGTTTTCTAAAGAAGTTAAACATAACACCTACCATATGATTTAGCCATTCAACTCCTAGAGATTTACCCAAGAGAAAGAAAAACATATAAACACAAATATAGACTTGAACATGAGTGGGTTTTTTTTGAGAGCTTTATTTGTAAGAGCTAAAAATTGGAAAAACAATTGTCCATTAACAGGTGAATTAATAAACTCTACAGAATGAACTGATAAGCCCACATGGAAAACAAAGCAACAAAAAGGAAAAAAAGGAACTACTGAGACACACAAGAATGTTATCTTGAAATACTAACGCTGAATCAAATCGTAATAAAAACGAGTATATCCTCTGAGAGTCCATTTCAATAAAACTTTAAAAAATATATAAACTAGCCTATAGTAATGAGAAATAGATCAGTGGTTGCTTGGGGAGGGAAAGGGAAATATGAGAGGGATGGATTAAAAACGGGCACAAAGAAAATTCAGTGGTGAGGGGTATGTTCGTGATTTTCATTTCATGGTGGTGACACTTTCATGAGTACATATGTCAAATTTACCAATTGGTATGATTTAAATATCTGTAGCTTATTGTGTGTCAATTTTACCTCAATAAATCACTTGGAAAAAAGGGGAAAACCTAGTGATAATTATAATGTAGACCAAAATATAATGCTAATGAAAAAAGGCAACAACAAAAGACTACATATGATTCTGTTTATATGAAATGCCTAGAAATTGCAAATTAATAGATTCTAGAAGATAATCAGGGTGGTGTGTGGCTGGGGGTAGGAGTGGACACTGAGTGCACAGAGCGTCGAGAAAACTTTTCCAGGTGATGGAAATCTTTTAAAATTGGATTGTCTTGAAACGATTATACTCATGGTTGCACAACTCTAGAAACTCAGTTAAAAATCACTGAAATGTAGGGATGCCTGGGTGGCTCAGTCAGTTAAACGTCTGCCTTTGGCTCAGATCATGATCCCAGGGTCCTGGGATTGAGTCCCACATGGGGCTCCCTGCTCAGTGGGGAGCCCGCTTCTCCCTATGCCTGCAGCTCCCGGATTGTGCTCTCTCTCTCTCTCTCTCTCTCTCTCTCTCTGACAAATAAATAAATAAATAAATAAAATCTTTTTAAAAAAAAATCACTGAAATGTAATGGTGAATTTTATGGTATGTAAATTAAACCTCAGCAAAACTACTAAAATTTAACTGAGTATTTTGTTATTACTTAATATAAGTAATATATAATAATATAATATATAATGTAATATATGTTTGACTCAGACACCAATGGTCTGGTTCACCAACCTGTGTTGATATTTATTGCAATGATTAAAAATGTATAAATATCATCTCCTAAGCAAATATGTCGAGGATGAGAAATTACATGATACAATTAATTTTTCCTTATGTTTATACAGATGATCCTAACGTGGGGGGGGGGAGTTCTCGCTATGGAACAGAATATAGAGCAAAGGAGATGCATTCACTCATAATGACCCTAAAAGGAAATATCCACAAGCATAGTAAACTTGAAGACTATAAAAACAAAAGCTACATCTTTAATAGTCAATATATCCCTAGCTCACTCCGAACACACTTAATTTTGTGGGGACAGTGAGAAGAGTGGTGATGTTGGGAGACAAAGTTTTCAGTAAGGTCCGTGAGGACGGACTGGAAGGAGTGAACTGGTTTGGATTAACTGGATTAAATGCAGCCCTGAGGTCTGTTTCCGGCATTCAAGGTTTGAGCCTGAATCTTCCGATTCTCCAGGGGCCCGGACCTCCTCACACACTGACAGCACCCACCAGGCGTCTCCAGGAGTGAGCCCTGTATTAAATGCCGCACTCACCCGCAAACAAGCCCAAACAACCAACAGGGACATCTCCAACCCACGGAAGCCGGACGAGACAGGCGCTCACGGATATACTTTCCACCCCACTTCTCAACCGAGTCCCACAAGCCGAGTGATCCACGCGGACCTCAAACCCTAACACAGTCGACCGCTCGGTCGAGATTTCTTCAGACTCTTAATCACTGACTGACTCCCAAAGCGCCCCCCCGCCGCCAGATTCCTCAATGACTGAATCCAAATAAAATCCCAACTGCGGTTCTTCACCCATTCTCCCGTTTCACGGACCCGACAGGCCGAGAGCTAAACCCAGAACCCGACTCACCCGAACCCGAACCTCTACAGACGCTGCTGGCAGCGACGAAAGGCCACCCACTTCCGAAGCCCCTTCTCTCGGTGCGCCCTTCCTCGCGGTACCTAGGGACTCGGAACCACCCGGCCAGCGACTCCCGCGAGGACCTGGGAGCGTTACGGGATTTCGGAGCTCGGGCGGCCGGCCCCGCTCTATGACCCAACGGCCACGCCCACCCTGGCGTTTCTGATGGGAGGGGCCACAGCGGCTGTGTGGGGAGATCGGAATCATTACAGGCCAACTCAGAGTTGCGAGGGATGATCAACAAAGCTGTGCTGACTGGGTAAGATTTCAGAAGTCGGTGTCTACCTACGGCCACCAGGCACGTTTATCGGCCGAGGGAAGAAAGATGGCGACGCCCTCTGTGCACGGCCGAGCGCAGACGTTAGGCTGGAGCACCGTGGGCGCGGCCATCTTAGAGGAAGGCAGGTGTCCGTACGGCTGGGATGGGCTCCGGCCAAGGCCGACTTGGGGAAAGAAGCCGCTGAGACGTCGCCGGAGAGGCAGCGGTCACAGAGTTGACAAAAGCAGTGGTCGCCTAACGTCTTAGGTTTAGGGAGACGGCGGTTGTGTGTGTAGTGGGTAAGGCCCTTGTCGTTTAGAAGCAAGACCGCCATTGAAGGGGCGAAGCCAATAGGGTGGAGCTTCGTAAAGAAACGCTAATCCCCCCATGGGAGTGGATGCACAGCTACTATCTCCAGTGGAGAAGGGATGAAGTGAAGGTGCAAATGTATGTTTTCCTTCCCAAAATAAATTAAGATGACCCCGGGATTTTGGAGAATACGAAATTACGAGATAATGTAATTATTATACTTTGCATAGTTCCCAAATTTTTAAGAGAGAGCACACTTTAAAATTTTATTATTTAGGCGTGGGAGGAAGTTTAATCATAGAGGATTTAAGTAGCTACTCCCTTTTTAGAAGGCAACCTGAATCAATTTAAATTTTTCATTCTCTTTGTCCTAGAAATTCTAATTGCAAGAGTTTACTTAGTAAAAACTTTTCCTAATATTAACCACGGGGCTTAACTGGCTTTTGCAATTAAAAAGGAAAAAAATCTACACTTGATCTTAGCCAAAAGGCCGAGAAGCGATTAAAAAGGAAAAAAATCTAAATGTACATTGATAGACATTTACTTGGGTAAGTTATGGAACATCCACTCACCAAAACAGTACATAGCAACTGAAAAGAATATACTACAACTGTCAGTATAAATAAGGAAAGATAACTGTATTCTCAAGAAGAAAAAAATACATCTGCAGGATAATATAAATTTTATGATCCCCATTATGGAAACGAATCATAAACATTTGCCTGTTTATTTGTGTTTGATTAAGTAAATCTTTAGTTTGGATTACTTCAGGGTTTGTACTTACGGGTAGTGAATGTCAGAAGTTTTCACATTCCCAATTTTTGTAATTCTCCATTGTTTATATATCTTTGTGTCATAATTCTATATTACTTTAGTATTATAAAAATGTCAATTTTAGAAGTTTTAGAATATTTAATGATGTAGATGTTCATAATGTTGTAAATATTTAAAAACTAGCCTCATATTTACTTACATATGTTTGAAAATTTGGGGAGACTATATTGTTAACAATGCTAGACTCTCAGGTACAATTATGGGTGATACAAAATTTCTTAAATCGTTTATATATGTTTTCTAATTTTTTAAAATTTCTTTAAAATTTTTAGTAGGCTCCATGCCCAACATGGGGCTTGAACTTACGACCCTGGGATCAAAAGTTCCATGTTTTACCAACTGAGCCAGCCAGGTACCCCCTATGTTTTCTAATTTCTATACATTAAGAATTTATTGTTTGCATAATTTTTTAATAGAGTATTTTATTCTCTTCAGGAATTAAGTGGGCAGCCCCATTCACTTGGGATGTCAAGCTCTGAAAAGTGAATTCGGCATCTGGTCCAGATTGCTCAGGGCAGCCTGGGCAGCCCATTCTGGGACCTGCCTGATTGGTTTCAGGAATGAGCTGATCTGACCTTGCCATGGCAGGATGTGTAGATCCACAAAAGGATAAGAAGTAGAGGGGACCTGAGAGCCTGGTTGGTAGAACACTCATATCTGATTCTGTACTGTAGAGAGTTTCTACCCAGTATCCATCCTGTTACAGTGTGGTGGTGGTAACAGGTGCACTAATCCAGGATTTAGGGCAGAGATGTTAAAATTTAAGCATAGGTCACAAAAATCATTTTATAAATACAGGGTCTTGGGCCCAATACTAGAGGTTCTGGTTTAGGAGGTCTGGGGTTTAAGAATTCACATCTTTTGGGGCGCCTGGGTGGCTCAGTTGGTTAAGTGGCTGCCTTCGGCTCAGATCATGATCCCAGAGTCCTGGGATCGAGCCCCACATCGGGTTCCCTGATCAGCGGAGAGCCTGCTTCTCCCTCTCCCTCTGCCTGCCTCTCTGCCTACTTGTGCTCTCTCTGTCAAATAAACAAATAAAATCTTAAAAAAAAAAAAAAGAATTCACATCTTTTAAAAGCAAACTTCTCAGAGAATACTGAGGTGGGAAGCCCAGAGAAAACACTTGGAAACAGATCTGGAGTGTTCCCAGCTTACAAGTATTACTCTTGCTGGTTACCCTCAGTATACTTAGGTCTTAGTTCAAATTACATCTACTCAGAACAGCCTTCCTTGAAAACCCATACTAAAATAGCTCCTCCAGGGGCACCTGGGTGGCTCAGTTGGTTAAGCATCTGCCTTTGGCTCAGGTCGTGATCCCAGGGTCCTGGGATTGAGTCCCACATCGGGCTCCTTGCTCAGTGGAGAGCCTGCTTCTCCCTCTGCCTGCTGCTCCCCCTGCTTGTGCTGTCAAATAAATAAAAATCTTTAAAAACAAAAAGCTCCTCCATTACAACCTATGTACTTGGCTTCATATTTCTCCATAGCACTTAACAACTGACATTTCTATTATGCATTTATTTTACTCAGTCACCTTCACTAAACCATATTCTCCATAAAGGCCATGACTTTGCCTTTTTTGTTCATTGACGTGTCCCCAGTGACTACAACGGTGCCTGACACAGTGTAAATGCTCAAAAAAAAAAAATACTTTTAAAGGAATGAATTACTCAACACTAAGTTGGGAACTGAATTCTGCCATAACACTGTACGGCAAATTTGTGGGGGGGGGGCACAAGGATTTATAAACTGGATAGCATATCCTTTTTTTTAAAGATTTTATTTGGGAGAGAGCACGTATGCACATTCACATGCACACATGTGAATGGGGGGAGGGGCAGAGGGGGACGGAGAGAATCTGGAGCAGACTCCACTGAGTGCAGAGCCTGATGTGGGGCTTGATCCCACAACTGTGAGATCATGACCTGAGCCAAAACCAAGAGTCAGAGGCTTAACTGACTGAGCCGCCCAGGCATCCCACATATTCTTATATCAAGGGAAATAACTGGATAAAGAAGAGCAAGAAAAACAAAAGGGAGAACAAAAGGAAAACTAAGATTTTTTTTTAAAAGACTTTACTAATTTATTTGACAGAGAGAGCACAAGTAGGCAGAGTGGCAGGCAGAGGGAGAGGGAGAAGCAGGCTCCTCACTGAGCAGGGAGCCCGATGTGGAACTTGATCCTAGGACCCGGGGATCACGACCTGAGCCGAAGGCAGACACTTAACCAACTGAGCCGCCCAGGTGTCTGAAAACTAAGATTTTTTGCCAGCAGACCTGCTCAAAAAATTGATAAAGGAAGTTCTAACAAAAAGGAAATGACAGAAGGAAACATGAAACATCAGGAATGAAGAAAATGGAATGAAAAAGGTAAATATATCATCAGGCATAATAGGCTATTCCCCTTTGAGTTTTTAAAATTATGTTTGATGATTGAAAGCAAAAATGACAACTTTACCTGATACAGTTCTCAGTGTATGTAGAGGTTTGGGAAAGATCAGTTAAGACACCATTATAGGGCGCCTGGGTGGCTCAGTTGGTTAAGCGACTGCCTTCGGCTCAGGTCATGATCCTGGAGTCCCGGGATCGAGTCCCACCTCGGGCTCCCTGCTCAGCAGGGAGTCTGCTGCTCCCTCTGACCCTCTTCCCTCTCGTGCTCTCTATCTCTCATTCTCTCTCTCAAATAAATAAATAAAATCTTAAAAAAAAAAAAGACCACCATTATATGCTGCACATACCTGATAGGAAGTCTGGGATCATATATGACTGTGCCAAGTGCTAGACAAGATACAACTGGAGCATGGATACACTGAGGGTGAGAATGTAAATTAGTATGGCTACTATGGAAAAGTTTGGCAGTTTCTTATAAAGTTAAAAACACAAACAACATGGGTATTTATCCCAGAGAAATGAAAACTTAACGTTCACACAAAACTGGATTCATAGCATCTTTATTCATAACAGTGAAACACTAGCAACAACCCAAAGTCCACCAACATTGAACAGATAAGCCATGGTACATTCATAACAAAAGAATACCACCCAGTAACAAAAAGTAAAACTATATGCCCAACAAATTGGATGAATCTTAAGGGCAATTTGCTGCATGAAATAAAGTCTATCACAAAGGTCACACTGTATCATTCCATTTTAACAGCATCCTTGAAATGACAAAATCAGAGTGATGGAGTACTGGTCAGTGGTCGCCATGGGTCAGGGTTGTGGGGAGAGTGTGACTATAAAGGGGCAGCACGTGGACGTTTCTTTGTGTTGGCACAACAATTCTGTATCCTGATTGTGGTGGGATTTACAGGAATCTATATATGTGATAAAGTTTCTTAGAACTCTACACTAAACAAAACCTCACATAAATTAATGCATGCAAACACTAGTGAAAACCAAATAAGGTCTATAGTTTACTTAACAGCATTGTACCAATGTCATTTTATTGGTTTTGATTATGTATTACGGTTATGTAAGATAATGTCACTGAAAAAGCTGAGTACAGTACTCAGGAACATTGTGTACTTTATAATTTTTTGTGAGTCTAAAATTATTTAAAAAAAACTTAGAAAAAATCATATATAAGGTTGTTTTTGTAAACTACTTACAAACTTGAATAAATACACCCTAATATGTTAAATTACATTTATAAATATATTCTTTTTTTCTTTTGCCTGAAAGAGATGACTTTAGAACACAAGAAATGCAAGAGGTAATCATATGATACAAGTTGGGCACAGAACATCCCGGCACTGTGTACATTAAAATTTAATCAGTGTTGAGAATAGCCTACTTTAAAACAATGGCATCACTGAGAATATGGTTCAAGGTATCCTGCCCCAAAATGGACATCAGATGTAGAAGTATAGACTTGTGATGGAAAACTCAGGTATGCATCGTTTTCATGAGGCTTCTTTCCTTCAAAAAAATTTTTTTTTAAGATTTTATTTATGGGGTGCCTGGGTGGCTCAGATGGTTAAGCGTCTGCCTTCGGCTCAGGTCATGATCCCAGGGTCCTGGGATTGAACCCCGCATCGGGTTTTTTGCTCGGCAGGAAGCCTGCTTCTCCCTCTCCTTCTACTGCTCCCCCTGCTTGTGCTCTCTCTCTCTCTCTCTGTCAAATAAATAAATAAAAAACCTTTAAAAAAATAAAGAGTTTATTTATTTGAGAGAAGAAAGAGAGCATGAGGGGGCAAGGATCAGAGGGAGAAGCAGACTCCCTGCTGAGCAGGGAGCCCGATGCAGGACTCGATCCTGGGACTCCAGGATCATGACCTGAGCTGAAGGCAGTCGCTTAACCAACTGAGCCACCCAGGCGCCCTCCTTCAAAATTTCTGATAATTTGCTAGTTACTCTACATTTAGTGTGTTCATGAGTTTTATGTCTGTATGAATTCATGAGAAATGATGAGGCAGAATGTATCACTAAAATTCATATTCCCTGCCATTTTCCTTTAACATGAATATCACACAGCTATTAAGGTGTGACTTCTAGGCAAAGGCTTCTGCACAGTCATCATGTTGCTACTGTGTGTAAGCTCGCTGGTAGGATCAATTATGATCACTGATGAGACAGGGTCTTTATTCCCATAGGAGGCTTTCCTACGCTCTCCATTCGTAAGATTCATCTTAATATATACTTTTCAGATATGTAATTACCTAGAAATGTTTCCTCAGGACTTTTCTGCATTGAATATATCAGTTTTTTTTTCCTGTTTTGACATACAATGTGAGGTAATTGATCACTGAAGGCACTAGCACATTCTCTTCATTCATTAAACTTCACTCCTATGCAAATTCAGTATTCCCCAAGGGTGAAAATCTAGCAACAGGCTAATTAATCTATACTGACTATACTCAGGGATGCTGGGAGCACACTGATGTTTAATGAGTTCATTGAACTATCATGGTTTGTCCCCTGCATGAGTTCACTTGTATGTAATGGGTTCAGATTCTCTGCAAAGGCTTATGTACCTTGACTTACACATTTCTTGTGTGTATTAACAAGGCGTGACAAATGAGAGAAAGGTGGCCCCCAGTTAATAAATCCATAGAGTCTTTCTAGTCTATGAATTATTTGATGTACAGTGGGTGCTGACTTGGTATTGAAGGCTTTCTCCATTAACTGTATACATAGTTTGCTGCATAAATTCCCTGGTAGGTAATAAATGGGATTTTCCACAGTCAGTACAAATAAAGGAAGTCAATTCTGTGTGAAATCTCTGATGTTGCACAAAGCATATTTTCCTCCGGAGGGTGTGACCCTATTCATTGTGTCATTGAGGTTTGTTTCCATTATGAGTTCTCTGATGTACAATAAGATTTCTCTTTGAGGAGAAGCCTTTTCCACATTCACTGCATATAAAAGGTTTCTCTCCTGTATGAGTTCGCTGATGAACGATTAGTCGGCTTTTCACAGTGAAGCCTTTACCACATTCATTGCATGCATAAGGTTTCTCTCCAGTATGAATTTGCTGATGTAAAATGAGCTCAGTTTCCATAGCAAAGCCTTTACCACATTCGCTGCATATGTACGATTTCTCCCCCGTATGGATTTGTTGATGTACAATGAGATAGCGTTTCATGGTGAAGCCTTTTCCACATTCACTGCATGTAAAGGGTTTCTCTCCAGTATGAGTTCGCTGATGTACCACAAGATTGCTCTTAAAGGCAAAACCTTTTCCACATTTATTGCATATATAGGGTTTCTCTCCAGTGTGAGTTCGCTGATGTAACATCAGTCCACTATTCACAATGAAACCTTTCCCACATTCACTGCATCTGTAAGGTTTCTCTCCAGTGTGTGTTCGTTGATGTACGACCAGTCGACTCTTCAAGGGGAAGCCTTTTCCACATTCACTGCAGATGTAGGGTTTCTCTCCAGTATGAGTTCGTTGGTGTATGATGAGCATGCTCTTCACAGTGAAACCTTTTCCACATTCACTGCATACAAAGGATTTCTCTACTGTATGATTTCTCTGATGTACAATGAGATTACTCTTCCTGGGAAAGCCTTTTCCACATTCATCGCATACATAGGGTTTCTCACCGGTGTGAGTTCGCTGATGTTCAATCAGTCGACTCTTCATCGTGAAACCTTTCCCACATTCATTGCATATATAGGGTTTTTCTCCTGTGTGATTTCGTTGATGTATGATGACATAGTGCTTCGTGGTGAAGCCTTTCCCACATTCACTGCAGATGTAGGGTTTCTCTCCTGTATGAGTTCGCTGGTGTATGATGAGCATGCTCTTCCCAGTGAAGCCCTTTCCACATTCACTGCATACATAGCATTTCTCTCCAGTATGATTTCGCTGATGTACAATGAGATTACGCTTCCCTGGGAAACCTTTTCCACATTCACTGCATACATATGGTTTCTCTCCAGTGTGAGTTCGCTGGTGTTCAATTAGACGGCTCTTCATGGTGAAGACTTTTCCACAATCATTGCATTGAAAGGATTTCTCTCTTTTATGAATTCTCTCATGTTCGTTGAGCCTGGACTTTCTGGAGAATACTTTCGCACAAATATTGCATCCATAAGGTTTCTCTCCTGTATGAACTCTGTGATGATCTGTGAGCTGGGACTTCTTAATGAAGGCTTTTCCACATTCACTGCATACATGGGGTTTCTCTATTTCACGAGTTCTCTGATACTTAACGACTTGTGACTTATTGCTAATAGGTTTTGCACTTATAGGGAGTTTAATAGCAGAATTAAAATCTTCCTGCTTATCATGCAGAAATAATTTCTCATCTCCATTGAATTTAGTAGAGTTTTTAATTTCATAGCTTTTGCTCTGGTTGACTAAACTTAAATTTGATTTCAAAGTTTTTATATAGAACTCAAGCATATGATTTTGCCTGGAAGGAAAATGACTTTTGCTTTGAGGAATATTTCCAAATGCATTGTGTTTGTGGTTTTGTTCCATACCTTTCAGCATTCTTGGATTTTCCCAGTGACCTTGCAGGTGATTATCAACTTTGCTAGGTTCTAGAAAAGAACAATGAATCCTTTCATAATCTTGTTTTGAATAAAACTTTAAAAAATTCTTTAGTGTTCCTTAAAAAAATGGCATTTTAGTGACAACCCTATGATAACAGTATAAAAGAAATGCCATATATAAGTGTTCCTTATCTCTTATACATTGGTAAAAACACAGTAATATAAACAAACCAAAATGAAAAAGCAGTAAGTATAAATAAGGTTACACAGTTGACAATATATGTAGATTTGCTGCTCTCTAACTAGGAACTCAAAATATGCAGAAATAGTAAAACACAAGCAAGTCATTGTTGGCAGCAAACGACAGGGTTGGAAGAACACCATTCCACAGAACTTGGAAAGACACCAGATCATAAAGGTTTTATATAGAACTATCCAGAACTATGAGGGTTGCATCTGTTCACTCCAAACTGTTTAGTGAATGGCTCCTGTGTACAAGGCACTGTGCTGGTGTTTGGAATATATAAAATAGGCCTCACTTTCACTGATCGTAGATCTAGTTAGGGGAAACCAAATGACGAAGAAAAGAAAAAAGAAGGGAATTGGATATTGTGAAATGTGACTGAAGGAGGAATAGAGACTGGAGAGTGGAGGGAATCAGGACATCTGCACAAAGAAAAGACAGTTAAATGATGAGCTCAATGGAGAGTGGCTAATGACAGTGAGGAATCAAGGATCTCCCTGCTAACTATGTGGCTTGAGCCACTGGGCAGGTAGAGGCATGTCAAATGGAGATGAGGAATATTACTGAAATCCAGAATGTGTAGGAAAAAGTCTGTGTTGCAGAACATAAACTTTGAGAGGATTGTTAGATAATGTAGTACAGACATCCAGGTCTGGTTGGAGATAGCAATGTTGAAATAATATATACCTGTTACCAAGAAAAGAAGACTGTGTGTAATGTTGGGAGGACACAGGGAACGGAAGATGGTGAAGGTACAGAAGAAGGTTTTAGACATTTCAACATTTAGGCTGGGGATTCTTTAAGTTCACTTAGAGAACCCAAAATCTGACTGGAGACATTGGGGAACTATGCAAACTGAGGTGTCTAGAATAAATGCATTTGTTACCAAGTAAGAAAGTAAGGTCTTCAGAATTTAAAGTGAGCTGAGACAGACTCTTGCATAGTAATCCTGTTCTTAAATTTGCCTTTCTGTAGACCACCATTAGACTAACTTTCCACAAACATCAATCGGATTTAGTGGCCAACACTCCAACCTTAGTCCAGCTGTGTCATTTTATCATCCATTCCATTCATACTGAATAGGCTGACCATGATTGGTAGGAAATTTTGCAGCTGGCCAGTATACCACATAGCCATCTTCAGAAGCTAATACACTCCTGCACAGGATATAGAAACTGTCATGTTGATCACATTCTGCATTCAGTAGAGAAATCATACCCAAGCTTCTCCCATTTCAGCATCCCTGATGTGCTGTTCCCTCACTTGCTACCAGCAGCATCTATTTCAGTAGTTCTACCTTTGTGTCTTGGTTGTACTAAAGAACCAACCTCCTTCTCTACAACCAAGGTGTGTCAGCTTTGCCTTCCATTTTTCTTAGAACATCTAGCTGTTCCTTATTGTTACTCTACTACCACTGTCCAAGTGAAAGGTCATACAACCTAGAGCTACAAAAAATACAAAACCAAGCACAACCCTCCACCATGCTACCTCAATTACTCGCCTATCAAATCCAGTCATCCTGGCAATAAAAGTGCACATCATCATGAATACTCCCATTTATCCACGTGTCCACTCCAGTGCTTCTCTTGTAGACACCTTCTAATACTGCCTTCATCCAGCCAACTCCAAGCCATTCTGAATAGTCACACCATGCCTTGCAGTTTCCTATTTCATGCCTTCATTCCTAATTCATGGTGGCATCTTCCTAATTCAAAATGCAGATGTCCTTTGTATATATCATGCTGTCATTCAATTCTGATTGTACAACCATAAGCTCTACTTCCTCTTTATTTCTAAGTAAATCCCTTTATTGTTCATTTTCATAGTTACCTTCAGTTAAGATTTAACTTCACCCAAAGAGAGGTCTGGCCCTTGCCACTGGCTCTAGGAGAGTGATCTCTAGGCCCTCAGAATGTCCTACCTGATAGGAGTGCCTTTGTTTGCCTGGGGGCTTTGGCCACTGGATATTCTAACAATGTGATTTATGAAGGAGACTTTGGGCCATGCCATATCAGTTCCAACCTCTGGACCCTCAGAGGAACTGGAGACTATAGGAATTAGCCTGATTTCTGGTGGGGCTAAAAACTAAAGTTCAGCCATGTGGGCAATGTGTGATTGAGCCCCAATAAAAACACTGGACACCAAAGGCTCAAGTGAGCTCCCCTGGTTGGCAATACTCTTCGCATATTGTCACACACCATGGCTGGGAGGAGGTAATGCTTGCTGGCCATGAGCTTGGAAGCACCATGTCTGGACCCTTCCTGGGGGTCCCATATGACCCAAGAATTCTACTCCTTGGTATATACCTAAGAAAAATGAATGTTCATAGCACAATTCATAAAAGCCAAAAAGTGGAAAAACCCAATGTCCATCAACAGATGAATGAATAAATAAAATGTGGTATATCTGTACAGTGGGAGTATTATTTGGCAATAAAAAGGAATGAAGTACTGATGCATGTCAAAGCATGGAAGAACCTCAGAAACTTTAGGCTAAATGCAAGAAGCCAGATACAAAAGACCAAATATTTCATGATTATATAAAATATCCAGAACAGTCAAATTTCTAGAGGTAGAAAGTCGATCAGTGGCTGCCCAGAGCTGGGGGCCTGGGAAGAAACGTTTCTTTTTATTTTTTATTTTATTTTATTTTTTAAAAGATTTTATTTTTAAGTAATTTCTACAACCCCCAGATCAAGAGTCACATGCTCTACTGAATGAGCCAGCCAGGCGCCCTGGAAATGTTTCTTTTTAAAGTGATGAAAATCTTCCAAAATTGCTTATGGGCATGGTTACATAACCCTGTCAATGTACTACAAAGCACTAAATTGTATGTGTTAAGTTGGCAAATTGTAGGTTATGTGAATTATCTCAAGGCCACTTTTAAAAAATGGGGAAAATAAATGATTTCGACAAATGAATACAATGGGAAGACCTTGGATGAACCAAAGGAAAATCAGAAATATCAACCATACAAAGGAAGCCATCAAGGCAGGCATAAGCTGATTTTGGCTAGAACTGATGTAGGATGTAAAACCATCTTTTCTAGTGAAACAGTCAACAGAAACAGCAGAGACCTTTGAGACAAGAATGCCATAGCTAACAGCAGTGTGGACTGGGTAAGGAGCGCAGTACTAAAGGAGAATCTAACATTCAAATGAGATGGAAGGGGATTTTTTGTGGAGGCAAGAGGATTCCTATTCCTCATGCAGGGACTCAGAAATCTTAGGCAGGTAAAATATCTACAATGCTATATAGTATGTAGGGAGATACCAATTTGGAATCTCTTCTAGACAACAGAAAGAGCTTAATTCATGAGCCAGAAGAAAAACCTCAAGTATTAGGAATTCAGCAGAGAAAATGGGAAAGAACTGAAGAACCTCGAGTGGATGGAAAACCTAGAAAGCGGATTGATGCCCCGTAAGAAACCAGGTTATTGTGATGGTGCAACATACAGAGTGGGGTTGGCCATCAGGAGGGAAACTGGCATTTCCCAAGGAGCCGGGCAGGAAGGTACAGTAGTCAGAAACAGGGTGAATGCACACGTCTCTCTTTGGAGTAAGGCCCAGGGGGTGTGGGGTGTGGATTTCACAGCCAGGGAGGCAGAAGGAAAAGGGACACACACTGTGACAGGGTACAAAGAAAGGGTAAGCTAATGGAATCAGTGGAAGAGAACTAGGCAAACCAACAAAAATCAAGATGTAAAATGAAAAAAGCAAGGATCAGACATCAGAAGAGAAAAAAGAGATCCACTTCCCTCTAAAGACCTAAAGGAAAAGTTCTGCTATGGGAGAGAGATACCCAGAGCACCGCTTCTGTCCTCAGACACCCTGCTAGCCTTCTCTCGCTGACCGAGGGTGACTTCCACAGTTACCCGGCTGGCAGGTTCTCACTCACCTGGCCGGGTTCCACTGGGGACTTCCTCCTGTTTCGTGCACGGTTCCTCCCCTCGTTCCAGCTTGGAGAGTGCATCTGGTTTGCTGGCTTGATACCCTACTCGTGGAAAAGACAGAACACTTAGACTCACCAAATCAGGCTGGGGTCTGTCAAGATGGGAGAATGCTACATTTGAGGGACTGAGACAGTTTTCACATCTGCAAAGTTGAGGCTTCTCTCTCAGGAGAGGGCATACGTGATACCGTGATATAATATACATATTTGGTCTTTGTACCCCATTCCTGGCACAGAGCTCCTAAGGCCCTTGTAATTTCCTAAGTGACAGCCATGATAGGAGCATCTTCCGTTAGAGTATTTGGTCTAAGTTCCAGTTCCTGACACAAGAACTTCTAACACCCCTGGACTCTCTAGAGTGATGAGTCTTTTTGTGAACTAATGACTGGTGGGAGGGGCCCCTATAGAGTTTTAGCATGGGGGCTGTTTGCCAGAAAGACCCTGGTGGGATGAGAAGGTTGGAACCTTCAGCTCCAATCCCCTGCTCCTGCCACTGGAGACTTGAGTTAATCATGATTTAAGCAATCATGCCTACATAATGAAACCTCCATAAAAAGTCCTAAACCGCCAGGTTGGGAGAGTTTCCAGGTTGGTGAACACACCTGAAGGGCTGGGAGGGCGGCATACCTAGAGAGGTCATGGAAAGTCCACACCCCTCCCTCCATACCATGCCTTATACATCTCTTTCTTTTTTGGCTGTTCCCGAGTTTTATCCTTTATAATAAAATGGTAATCTTAAGTAAAGTGCTTTCCGCAGCTCTGTGAGCTGTTTCCAGCAACTTGCCGGACCTGAAGGGGGTTGCGGGAATGCCCAATTTACAGCTGGACTGAAGCGTGGGTACCCTGGGTAGTGGGTACCCAGTACTGGCAACTGGCATCTGAAGTGAGGGGAGTCCTGTGGAACTGAGCCCTTAAACCTGTGGAGTGTGATGCTAACTCTGGGTCGTGGCAGAACTGAAATGAATGGCAGGACACCTAGCTGGTACCTGGAGAGTTGGAGAACTGGTTTTTGGTGTAGAAACCCCCCCCATGTTTGGCACCATTTGTGTTGGTAGTAAGAGCAGCTCGTAGTACATCAGGCCCTTTTATCATGTGCTCAAGGAGGCACTGAGAATCTGCCGTACAGAGCAATGCAGTGACTCTGAAGTGTAAGCAGCTGAGAAAGGAAAGGCCACTGACTGGGCACCCTCTGAGTGACACAGGGGAGCTGTCCTCACCCACTGACACCAGGTTGCTGTAGTTTTCCAACATCACGTCCCGGTACAGGTCCTTCTGGGCGGGGGCCAGGAGCTGCCATTCCTCCCAGGTGAAGTCCACGGCCACGTCCTCCAGTGTCAGCGATTCCTGTAACAGCATGGTCCTGTTTCATGTGAGTGTTTCTTTCTTTTTCTTTCTTTCTTTCTTTCTTTTCTTTCTTTCTTTCTTTCTTTCTTTCTTTCTTTCTTTCTTTCTTTCTTTCTTTCTTTCTTTCTCTCTCTCTCTCTCTCTCTCTCTCTCTCTCTCTCTCTTTCTCTCTCT